GAGTTATAAAAATATCTCAAGGTTTTTAACTGATAATAATAATATAATATGTGAGTTATCAAAAATATCTCAAGGTTTTTAACTGATAATAATATAATATGTGAGTTATAAAAATATCTCAAGGTTTTTAACTGATAATAATAATATAATATGTGAGTTATAAAAATATCTCAAGGTTTTTAACTGATAATAATAATATAATATGAGTTGTTGATAATATTTTCATTTAAAATTCAGGCTTATACCAAATAGATGTACAGGTTTGTTTGTTTTTTGCACAGGTAAGGCATCTTCTATTCTCAAGTCGCATATATGTATGCAAACCATTATATCTCAAAATTGAAAGTACCCTCTTAGTGGTCTTGATACTAAGACAAGAGAGAATCCTCAATAGCCGCGGCAATTGATATTCTTTGAGGCAGAGTTAGAGTAAATTAATCCTTTTTTTTTCTTTTTATTAGCTATATTTTTGTATTACTCATCAGGATCTCTACCAGCCTACCCTCAAATTGAAATTCCTTTAGGCAGGATTAGAGTAAATTAATCTATGAGACCTTGGGCGTGGCCAAATACATCAATCGAAATGATTTGACCTCCTGAGTCAAAAACTGTAACTAGAGTCAGTCAATAGATGATGGAGCTAAACGTTTGTACTTGAAAATAAAAACTCAGAGCCTTTGTATGAGCCACTGAGCTGGGGCTAAAGAAAAACTAGCTAATTTAGGGTAAAATTATCATAAAACATGAAATTCACCTTACAGATATTTTAGTATAAACTTGTAGGATAAAACATAAATTATATCTTAGAATTACTTTACAATATCCAGTAATATTATCCAAATTGTATTATCCAAATTAGTTCTGATTATTAGCCACTATTTATGGATAAAACATAGATTATATCTTAGAATTACTTTGCAATATCCGGTAATATTATCCAGATTAGTTCTGATTATTAGCCATTATTTATAGATAAGACATAAATTATATCTTAGAATTACTTTACAATATCCGGTAATATTATCCAAACTGTATTATCCAAATTGGTTCTGATTATTAGCCACTATTTATGGATATAACATACGTTATATCTTAGAATTACTTTACAATATCCGGTAATATTATCCAAACTGTATTATCCAAATTGGTTCTGATTATTAGCCACTATTTATGGATAAGACATAAATTATATCTTAGAATTACTTTACAATATCTGGTAATATTATCCAAATTGTAGAATAATTAGTTCTGATTATTAGCCATTATTTATGGATAAAACGCCAGAAACAATAACTTTAACGTAAGCTTATTATAATGTTTAAAATTGAATCGACCAGGAATGTGTTTGCTAGAAGAGGATTGTTAAATCAAGAATCGACCAGGAATGTGTTTGTTATAAAAAAAGGTGTTTGCTAGAAGAGGATTGTTAAATCAAGAATCGACCAGGATTGTGTTTGTTATAAAAAGGTGTTTGCTAGAAGAGGATTGTTAAATCAAGAATCGACCAGGATTGTGTTTGTTATAAAAAGGTGTTTGCTAGAAGAGGATTGTTAAATCAAGAATCGACCAGGAATGTGTTTTTTATAAAAAAGATGTTTGCTAGAAGAGGATTGTTAAATCAAAACAAACATTTATTAACTTTATCAACGATTCACTCTGAAATTACTTATGCTCTTGATAATGCCTCCCAAAGATTTTAGGATAAAGCTCATCAACCATGGGCTTTGGAAGCTCGATTGTAAATAGGTATTTTGGTCTGTACAGTATATACAATGCTTGAGGTGTGGGGGATAATGCCATGGGCTTTGGAAACTCGATTGTAAACAGGTATTTTGGTCTGTACAGTATATACAATGCTTGAGGTGGGGGTGCCATGGGCTTTGGAAGCTCGATTGTAAACAGGTATTTTGGTCTGTACAGTATATACAGTGCTTCAGGTGGGGGTGCCATGGGCTTTGGAAGCTCGATTGTAAACAGGTATTTTGGTCTGTACAATATATATACAGTGCTTGAG